CACCGGGGCCCAGAGGTCTGGTGGTCTGGGTGGCGGAGATAGGTATGGGGAGTGTTGGTGACAAATGCCAAGATCCCTGCCGTCTGAAGAAAGTTAACTTGCTATCAACTGTGGACCTTGGCCAATGAGGTCACTCACTGTTCTGGGCCTCAGTGTCCTCACTGGATTTCGGTGGTGAGAGCCACTGTGCTGGGCCCCCTGCATGGCTGAGGGGAGGGCTGGCTGGCAGGAGGCTGTGTCAGGGCCGGGCCTTGGGACGGGGAGGATGTGGCTGCTGACGCTGTCATCGGTGGGCACGGCACTCACACCATGGCTGCCTTTTCAGGTGGTGAAGGAAGTTGATGATGAGGAACATTTGGGAATGTGGGGGTGTGAGAAGGTGCGGGTCTGCGCGCGCACGTGTGGCTTGTCAGTGTGCTTACGTGGGTGTGTCCTAAACACAAACACACTCATTGACTGAAAGTCTGCAGTGGGCTGAACACAGGACAGCTGGTGAAAAGGAAACAAAAGACAGAGGTGAGCTCTCCCCTCGAGGAATTTATAGTCTCACTGTGGAAGCAGGACTTAGGCGAGTGAAGAGCCATTGAGTAATCCCAAAGAGGGAAAAGCGGATGACTAAGGAAGCGCAACAAAAAGTTATGTGAGTGTGAAGAGACAGACATCAGTAAGGGGAGGCTGGGTCTGGCCCACTGAGAGAACACAAGCCTGTGGGGTCGCTTCGAAGGGTCTCGTGGAGATGACAAGCAGGAAAATGTTCTGAAGATAGGCCCGGAGTCCAGGTTTGGGGGTGGGAGAAACAGTATACCCAGATTGGCAGGCAGAGGCCGAGCAGTGCTGGGGGAGTGGGGTCAGGCTGATGAGAATAAAAGTAGATGTGAATGGTCACTGTGGCAGCGGGAGGCGTGAATGGACGCTGGGTGTGGGCACCCTCTCTGGGTGAGGACAGCGTGTCCAGTTGTTTCCTCTAGAACCTAAGTCTCAATGTCAAATCCAAAGCTGTGGAAGAAGGAAGATGTGTGGAAAAACCACTGTGAGTCACTGGTGAACCCAGAGGCCACCCGGCTTTGGGTGAGGAGGTGGGGAGCCCAGTTTATCACAGGCCCGTGATGAGGCCAGATCCAAAGTGGGGAAGGTGAAGTGTGGTCTTGGACACATGTGAGTGAAGCTGGCCAGCTCTGACCGCAGAGGTTTGGGCCCTTTGGCTTCAGCGCCGCCTCCCAGCCGCCTCCCCCCGCCCCCCCCACTCACCCCCCCCCTGCAGTCTTGCTTGAGTTTTTGGAATATTTCCCTCAACTCTCTGCGAGTTCCATTTAGCCACAGAGCTACAGCGGGCGACACCATATATTCATGGGAGCAGGGTCTGCTTGACCCCCTTCTGTGGGCACAGTGCCCAGAGCCGTGCACGCATGGCGCCTGGCATTGTCGGCGGTGGGGAGAATGGCGAGAGAGGCGGGAGCCGTGTAGTGGCGGGGGGAGGGGGGCTGGGCAGGTGGGATAGTTCAGGAACTAGGAGGAGGGGAGGCCCAAGTCCCTGTCCGGGCCCTTGCTGCGGTCTTGGACGCCCAAACGCGTTATAAGCCCTCCACCGGGAAGTGTGTGGGATTGGCAGGGCAAGCCAGGCCTGAGAGCTGCTGTCTGCATTTGTTTGGCAGAACTCAGGGTCAGGGGGAGGTGGGGAGCTCTGAACCTGGGGACACATCTGTTAAATGTCAGTCAGCAGTGCACTAGCCATTCCGACCCCTGCATCTTGATGATGAAGAAACTGAGGTCCAGGATGGACGCCTCATTCGACAACAAGGTCACACATGACATACCCCTGTATGTCACCCTGGGGTCACAGGACAAAGTGGGGCTGTAGCCTCTGGTTTGGAGTCATACTGCCCTGCTTCACAGGATCACACAGGCTCAACCAGAGTAAGCTCACACTCCGTTCTCGTTCAGGCCGTCACTCATGCCTTGGTCCCAGAGCGGGAGTGATGGCCACGGTCCTGGGCCGAGTCAGCCTTCCTTCGCAGATGCCCCTCTACCTGGCTCCTGCATACTGACCTTTCCCTTCCAATTTCTAGAAGCTATACTTGCTTTTCACCCAGGAGATACAAGTGGCTTTTACACCACCCATATCCCATGACAAACTCCTTCTGTGTGTGCCCTCCCACGGAAAGAAAACTAGACCACGGCAAGCCCCAGGGCCTGGTTCTCTGGCAGAATTCCATGCCCTGGCCTCCTGAGGCCTGTCCTGTCCTGGGCGTCCCAAGTCCCCCAAGCACTGCGCATGTGCCTCTATGAGCTCCAGGTCTTTGGCATCCCCATGTTGTGCAAGGGCCACTTCCGCTCTGGCAGTCAAACCGGGCTCCTCCACACCATGCATCTCCTGTCTCTGGTGCCCTCTGGTCCCCTTGCTTTGGTCCTACCTGCCTAACCCTCCAGGTGCATCACCTCCAGAGAGTGGTTTTTCTGTATTACTTCTCCCATGGGCAATATAACGGCTCTCTGAGCCATCCCCCAAAGCCACACCACTCCAGGACCTTCATCCTCCTTTTTCTCCTTGTATTGCCATCACTGCCTCCTGGCAAAGGCGCTCCTTCTCACTTAAAAAAAAAAAAAAATCATCCAGTCTGTGGTTTTTCCCAGGCCAAAGCTTCCTCCCTCCTTCACTCAAGGATCTCTTCCCTTCTCTGGGGCTGAGAATGTCCCCCCTCCTCCTCATAGCCTCAGGGTCAAATAGACTTGTAGATCATCGAGGTGCAATTCCTCATTTCTAGTTGAGGACACTAAGCCAGAGAGGTTTATTGATTTGCCCCCAAATCTACTGGACTGGAGATCAAGATGTCCCCACCCTGCATTAAGAGGCCTGCACACCCTTCTTGGCTGAAGAGAGCATGTGGTGCTGGCGGGAAGACACTCGTAGGAAGGACAGGGCTGTCCCTAAATCCAAGTGATCTCCGGTTGTTGTGCCAGAAACACACAATTAAGTGTTTAATTATAAGCTGCTCTACATTGTTATTTAAGTGTTTCCAAACTAGACTGCAAGGCCCTTGAGGGCAGAGGACATTCTCTGTGCCTGGGATCTTGTTCTCTGCAAAGCCCCTAGCACAGTGCTAGGCACGAGGGAGGCAGCACGTGGTGGCACCAGTACCCTGGACAGCTGGGGCTTTCATCTGGGAGGATTCTTTTTCCTCCTCCATTTCTGGCAGCAAATAAAACAGCCTGAAAGTCAAAGAGAACTGTATCCAGATGCAAGTCCAGTTTCTAAAATTTTCATAGAGATGAAAGGTAGGTGGTGGGGGTGCCCAACAAATCGTCAGGTTGGCAAAGATCCAAACGCACTAATAATGGGTTTTAGGCCTGATGGGGTTTCAGCTTCCTCGCCTGCTGCTACCCTGGCAGGAGGGGCCCACAGGCCACTGGGCTTTCTGGAGGCTGGGCTGGCATCAGGCTCAGGACGCCGGCCTTGGTGGGGGCGGGAGGTGGCTCTGCCCATTCCCCTTCGCTCTTTTCACCCTCCTCCTGGCACTGCCTAATGCTCCTTTTTTCCCTCTTCAACCTGCTACCCCTGAGAAAGCACTGGCTTCCTCCCAGGACACACTCTGTGTGTATGGCCCTGATGTCAAAGGTGGACTCACCGGCTGTGCCTTACTTCTTAAGACTCTCACAAGCGTGGGGACATCCTAGGCCAAGATGCTCATTCCCAGTCTCTGGACACTGCTGCGGCTGGACTAGTGGGAGGGGCTTCACGATGTCTTGGGAAAGACGGGGACTCGGGGACAGGAGAAACTGTTCACCTGGGCCAAACACAGTTTTCTATTCTCTTTCTCTTTGTATGCAGGCTTGGAAGTGCGTCTCTGGCCCAGTCATTGACACTGATTTACAGATTGGCAAAGGGCGAAGGGCACCGTGGGAGGGTGTACCAGCGGAAAGGTTGCTCCAGTTTTGTGCGTAGGGTGGCCCAACCTTCTGTGATTGGTGGGACCTGCTCAGCACACGTGAAGGGCTGGATCACTCAACAGTGCCTTTCTGGGCTCCCTGCTCCTCTCCTCTGGAGCCTGGGGCAGCAGGGTTGTGACAGTACCTTCCCTGGCTTCCCAGTGGGTAGAGGGTGGCCAGGGTCACTGGGTGAGAGGAGAAGGCTGACAGCACTCACTCTCCCACTTGCCCTCCTGCCAGTCTGGGGGATGTGCTCTTTGCTTTCTTATACTGGCATTTGCGCATTTCACGTCACCTCCCCCCTCCTGAAATTTGGGGAGGTGATAGCAAGCACAGAAATTACTTGCTATCTCCTTTTCCTGGCAAGAAATCTAAGGCTCAGAGAGGCGACAAGGCTCAGACAGGGTGAGGTGCGCCCCCTGTGGCCTGGCAGGGGTCAGGTGTCCATGACTCTTCCTGATTCCAGGCATTGGCACAGGAGGACCCAGGCCAAGAAGGCTGGGTTAGACGTTAGGAAGTTTCTGGGAGTGGGTCCTGTCCCAAGGGGCAGGAGGGCTACGCCAGAGAAGCTAGTGGCAGGGTGGGGGTGGGGGTGCGGGGAGCTGGCTGGGGGAGTCTTTACCCCCACCGCTGAGGTGGCAGACAGGTCAATTAGTGACCAATGAAGACAGACAGGTAGGGTGGCATTCCAGGGCCCTTTTTGCCCAGATGAGACTCAATTACAGGGTACAATTACCTGCAGAAGTACTGGGGGATAGCTGCCCGCACATGCCATGTAAAGTTGCAGGGAGGGGGCAGATGCTTCTTCCCTGGCTCCAGTTACTCTCTTTGGGACCTTGCCGTATACCTGCCCATCCAGCTAGAGCTGCCATCTTGGCCTGTGGGACCTACTTCTGGGGCGAACACCACATCTGCTGCCAACGTCTCCTTTGCGGCAATCATGCCAGTTTACAGAAGCACATCCTTCCGCCCCTGCCTCCCAAGTGCCTTGTCGGGTGGCGAGTTCCTGCCTTCCCCACAAATGCACCCAACATCCACTTCCACGCCGGAATCCACTCTGCCTTTGGAAGTCTTACCTCTAGTTTTATTTTCTTTGGGAAGGAGAGAGATGGACTTCTCTGGCTGAAGATAGACGAAGAACTGGTAGCGATGGAAGCCACTTTCTGCTGGCGGGGAGGGGGCCTGGTAGGCTGTGGGGTGGAAGAGGAGTGTGTGGGTCTTACCTCCCACAGAACTGAGGTGCTCTTGGATGCTCATGGATGCTCAGGGCAGGAGGAAAAGGGCCCTGGGGTCCCAGATCAGGGCTCGTCCATTAAAAATCATGAGGGTTTGGGCCCTCCCTGGTGGCGCAACAGGTTAAAGCACAGCACTGCGAAGTTACTGCAGGCCACTGCTGCACAAGTTTGATCCCCAGCCAGGGAGCTGACCCACATGGCGCGGCAGACCTCTCCTGACCCACCCGCTGCTCCCCTCAGCAGTGTATTTAGTCCATCTGCCTGATCTGCTCCCCACTCTGTCTCTGGTGAATCCTCTCACCCCCCCGCACCTCTGGCCTGTACCCCAATTCTGTATGCATAAGTAAATAAATCTTTAAAAAAAATCATGAGGGTTTATCTTTGGCAGAAGCTCATCTTCTGTGGCTTCATTTAAGAAGCACATTTTCGGGATGATGGGGGGAGGAGGTGTGGGTTGATTGAAAGTCTCCCGGCCTTTCTGGTGGTGGGTGTCGGTGGTATCCTCTTACTGCTTTAGTCTCTCCTCATGGATTTCCTGCCTCAAGAGAAACCCATCTTCCTCTGTGAGTGTTTGGCAGGAATTTTTATTTATTTTTTCAATATTTCCTTGTGAACTCAATCCCCAAAGAAGCCAATTTCTTGGCTGGATCTGGAGGATCTGGAAGTGGTTATGGGGGTGGGTGGGACTCTGTTCAAAGGTTTGATCATGGAAGTGGTAGGATTTGGGCGCTTGGGGCACTGGGAGCCCACTCAGGCTCTTCCGGAGAAGGTCCATCTCCCTCCTTTTTGCTTGCCTTCAGGGGACAGCTCTTTCTGGAGGAGTGGGGACATTGCTCCTCCAAATTTATGCAGGGCCCCCTGGACTTTTGCTGGCCATACTGGGCTTCCTTCCAAGAGTCCTGTCCCTCTTCTCTTTTGGAAGAGCCGAGAGTCTTTCTGGGCGTGGGAGTGGGTGGGGATGGGGGATTTTCAGTGAGGATAGGATGAGCTGGGAGGGAGCCATGGTGTGCCGTGACCACCTCCTTCTCCTGATCATTAGACAAGAACCACCTGCTTTTGGAGCTATTGGAAAGGTTTCCTAGGGTGCACTTCCGGCTGCACCCTATGGCCAGGGGAATTCCTGACTGTTCACTCTCTCCCTGGGTTTTTGCACTGCAGAAATGTGTGTGCGTGTGTGCGTGTGTGTGCTCCCAGCGTGAGGATAGCCCAGGCGTGCTGGGAGCTATGTGAGTCTGGCTAACTTGGGGTCTGCACTGGGGCAGGGGCTGAGGCTCTTTTGGAGGGCCTCTGTCAGGATGCGTACCTCCAATGCTGAGACAGACATGTGGGCACGGGTGGGAAACTCTCATGCGAGTGGAAGGCAGACACGTGCTCCCGCCAGCTGCCCGCCAGGCTGATGGGGACGTGGTGGCCAGGCGCCCTTGAGAGTGGGCATGTGCCACGCTGCCAGAGACTGGTGACCATGATTTTGGGTGGATAAGGCTGCTATTGGAACGCACTGGTTCTATGTAACTGGGAATTTATCCTCAGGGGAGATGGCGAGTAACTCCTTTCACTGGGAATCCCTTTTACTGGGAAGCTTTCCTGTAGCATCTCCCTTCTGAAATTACAGATGAGAGGTCTGAGGAGGAAGGGAATGGGACACACCCTGAGCCACCTCTTGGGCTGTGGCTACCTGCTCTTGTCAGTGGCGTCCTCACCACTGCCTGGTGGGCATCACTGGCATTTCTCAATGAGCAAACAGGAGCTCTGAGGGGTTGGGTCAGTCAGTGGAGGGGCTGGGATTTCAATCTAGGTCTATCTGGCGCCCACGTGTCTGGCTTCATAGAACCAGGGCCCAGGCCACCACCTGAGCCACCCCCTGGGGAGGGGAGGATGGGAGTGAGGCTGGGTTGGGGAGGGAGAAGGACACAGGAGAAAATGGAGGTTTATGTATGCAGTCATATCCTGGGGCTGGGGCAGGGGAAGGGGAGCGGCAGGCACAGGGAAGGCGGTGACCCTACCAATTCTACTGCTCAGAGAAGGTCCCAGCACACCTCTGTGTTTGAATTGGGCTCCCTCCTTCACTGGTCACATGACATGGGATGCGGGTGGGTCTGACAGCCTCAGTTTCACGCCTTTAAAGTGGAGCTATTGATGGCAATGACCCTAAGAGGCAGTTTGAAGATTACACCAAGCTGGGCTCGGTGCTGCAAAACATCAATGTGAAGTTGTGTTTTGTTCTCATGTTGCCTTGGTTGGGAGAGGGCACTTGGAGGGTCTTACTCACCTGTTAGCTCCTGGCCCTTAATCTTTCCTTTCTTCATGTCACTGCCCTGCAAAGAGAATAGACACAGACCTGGGTTATTCCCGTGTCAGCCATCACTGTGGGGTGCGTTTGTTCTTTTTCTGAGAGAGTGAGATGGAGGAGGGGAAAGATGGATGGCTGCTTGGGAGAGGCCTGGGAGGGTGCTTCCACGTGGGATGCCCCCCTGCACCGTGTGCCTCCAGACTGGGCACTGGATGCAACTCTCAGCCTGTGGGTACTGCTTGGAACTAGGCAGGCAGTTCCCACTCGGAACTGGGGCCTTCGGCTGCCTGAGCGATCGGAGGGTATGGAAGGTCAGTGCCAGGCCAGACTGGTCTTGATGGATCTGGCCCAAGACCCTGGGCAGATTCTTTGGCCCTGGGACCTCCTCAGCCATCCCCCTTCTCTTCCTTCCCTCCCTTCTCCCCTCTGCTCGGTGTCTGTGGGATAATGAGGTGAACCTGGGGGCGGGTGCTAATTATTGTTTGTGCAGGACTGGGAGATGCTCAGATGAAAGGGACTGGAGCCGGGCCCCTGGGTCCGTGCCACAGCTCAGGGCCCCGGGCCACGCCAGGCAGCCCTGCAGGCCCTAGGTGTGGGGTTTTATAGCCTTAATGATGGTGATTAGCGTGGCTCTTCATTGATTCTGCCAACACCTAACTGTGCCCTGGCCACCTTTCCACCAAGCCCTTCCTGGTGCAGCCCCTACTCTTGGCCCTTATAGAGCTTCTCTGGAGGGTAGCTGGGGAGAGCTTAGCCATGGTGTGTAGGGGGGATTTGGGTGGGGAGCTTGAGTTCTCATTTCAGTTCTCTGTGGAGAATCCCTGGGTCAGCTGGGTGACCCAACCCCTCACAAGGCTTACTTTTTGCAAATCTAAGGCCCCACTCCTCTATTGACACTCCCCTTCTCCCCGATTCTGGGCTGCAATTTGCCACCTCTTCTTCCTGCTTGAGGCCTCCTCCCTAGAACATCTATTTCCACAGGTTCAGCCCTGGATCTAAGTTAGCTTCGGTTGGGAGAAGGGGCCAGACTGGAGGGAAGGGCCCTTCCACCATGGGGTCCCCTTCTGACTCTGTCCCCTTCACCTGAGCAGGTGAGATCTCTGTCCATTGACATCTTCCACTCTTTCTCAGCCTGCTCTTGTCAGCATCCAGACAGCCACCATTCATTCCATGGGCTTAGCAGAACACACTCGCCCTAGTACTGGGCCTTTCCTTATCCAGGGTTGGCATGGTGCCCAGGTGTGGCCAGGGGCTGAGATGTGAGAGAAAGGGTTAGGGAGCGGATACTGGGCTCTCCCAGGAGAGAAGGTGAGGCCCCAGGCCTAGCAGCCACTGTCCCAAAATAGCTTTCTGGTCACCCTAGCAAGATTGAGAGATGGGGGTTGAGCCAGGGAAGCCCAGCCCAGCCTGTTCTGCTCTGTGCTTCCAGCCTCCCCTCATTTCTTTCCAAGTCAGCCCAGCCAGTGGTTTGTTTAAACAAAACAATAGCAACCTAAGCTGGCTGTTTCTCTCTTCAATTCCCCACAGACTCGGGTCCCACCCAGAGTGATAAACAGGCCTTTCTGAGCTCAGAGAGGGGGTGCGGGTGGGGGGCTGGGCCGTAAGGTCAGGGAGTTGGTTTGTGTAGAGCCTTGTGGAAAGTCTGATCTGTAGCCTTGATCAGGGTGGGGAGGCACTCCTGTCCCTCCCTTTCACTCTGGGGAGACTCTTCTCATCAATTCAGGCCAGCTTGGCCAAGACACAGGCAAACTCTCGGGTTTGCTGAATAAAGCCGTTGGCCCTTCCGGGCTAGCCGCTGCCCCAGCTCCGTCAGGGCAACTGTTGAGCGAGAGGGTACTGATGGTCTGACACTCTTCAGGCCCCTCTGGAGTGTCTCATGTGGACAGACACTGTTCCTGGGGTAGGAAGAGAGGGAAGGAGGGCTCTGAGGAAGGGCAAGGTGGGTCAGTGTGGTCAGTGTGGCTGGCATTGAGTGGAGTTGGGTTGAGTGAGAATCAACTAAGCTCCCTTTGGCCACAAACCTTCACTAACCTCTTGGGGATAGGAGTAATGCAGGGTGGCTAAAATTTCTATCGCAAAATCAATACCTGGGAGGGGACTTAGGAAACGAAATTCAAAGAGTGAGAAAGTTGGTGATCCCAAAGAGAAGCTCTCAAGTCTCTGATCTAGGGTGTTGTCTGTGCGTTTCCTGTGGCATCATGAACAATCCCATCACTCTTCCAGGAAGTGCTTACTTTTTAGAAGACCATTGTTAAAATACAACATGCACATATTACCTGGAGGACTGGGGTTGTGGTAGAAATAGCCACTCAACACCCAATATGAAAACATGAGCTTGCCTCAAACATCCTGGGTCGGAGTATCACATTAGAAAGCTGGACATGTCTGGGGGGTGGGGGAGATTCAGGGACATTTCCAGAGGGGAGCAGGGACAGCCATTGTTTGAGTGCTCCCCAGGGAGATGGCACTGGGTCCATCCCTGAGGACAAGCAACAAGCCCGGTGACTGAGGAGTACACACCCCACCTCTGTCAGCCTAAGCCTTGGAGAGCCCTGCAGAGAGAGGATGGGACAGCTGAGCGCTGCCTCCACCTGTCTCCCCGCCCCTGCCCTCCTCTTGGCCCCCCCGGGGTGTGCCTTCTCGCTTCAAGATGAGGCCCTGATTCAGATAAAACCGTTCCCTTACTGCGGCAAAGACAGGCTGACATTTTCAAAAGGGACTGTCTCAATGCTAAGGTTAAACAAAGGAAGTAATTATAATCGAAATTACAAACAGCTTAGAAATGGTTGTGTTACTGATCCTCAAGGACACAAAACAGGCCAGGATGGGGTTTCAGGATATTAGGAGAGGGGCACTCGAGGTGTTTGGCAGTGTGCATGGGAGGACATCCGGGACTCCTGGAGGAAAGTATCAGGGGCTGTATGGCTTTGGGAAGGGAACTTTCCTTAGCATTCTCTGGAAATGGGTAGTCTGATGCCCATCGCCCTATTGGCAAGGGGAGGCGGACGGATGGCAAACGGCTCAGTGGGCCCTTAAATGCCCAGGATCTAAGAATAGTCCCTCTCTTCTCTTAGAAGTAGGTTCCTAGAGCATGTGTGTCTGTGGCTGCACACACAGCACACGTGCCTGATATGTGTGCACGCGTGAGCGTTCACACGTGAGTGTGCACGCGGGGAACTGCAGGACTGCCTGGTACACGCAGAGGCACTCGTTCTAATTGTGGGAGAAGCGTTTACTTTATGAACACTGGCTAAGAATTTCTACTTTGGTGGCACATGAGGTTTCTTTCCAGCTGTTGCCTTCCTCGGAGTCGCCTGCTTCTCTGTCGAGGCATGTGAGATACTTAAGAAAAGTTGGGGCTGGACTGAGAGCTCCAGCAACCCTATTTTGGGCTAGGGTGAAGCAAGCTGTTGCAAGTGGGATTTGTTGGTGACCATCTCGCTGTTTCAGGCCAAGGGGAGCACAGTTGGAAACTGGGAGTCCCTGCCTGCCCCCAGTTATTTTATAATCCTAATGGGTTTTTAGTCATTATTCTCCAGGAAACTGACCAAGCAACAGATCTCACTGCAGCGCTCCATGAGAGGAGGGCTCATTTCACAGGGAAAACAACAACAACAACAACAAACAAACCCAGAGAGGCTTCAGCTTCTCTAGGGCACGGACTGCAGCCTCCTACCTTTGTAACCCTGAGTCTCTTGCACGCAGCAGGGGTAGGAGACAAGGCCATTGGCACGTTGGCGCTCAGCGGCTCAAAGTCCAACCTGCTTTCTCCCGGCCCCAGGGTCGCCTCACTCACCACCTGTGCAGTGGGCAGACGTGATGGGCCGCTAACGGCCGCTGCGATAGATCTTGACCAACAGCTAACGGGAACTGGCGCTTGGGCGCTCCAGCTCCTCATCCTTTGGAGCAGTGACCCAGTAGCAGAGTTCAAAACCTGCTCTGGTCCCTACAGTGTTTGCTCATGAGCCCTGACTGGGTGGCTTTCTTTTCCTCTCTACCTTCCCTACTCCTTTACTGGTGCTCCCTTGTGTCCCCTTGCAAATAAGCTACTCTGCAGTGGGATTCTCCTCTCAGGTTCTGCTGCTGGGAAAACTCAAGCTAAGTAACACCAGTCCATTGAATGTGTGGCGAGATGGTGAGTGAAGACGTTGCCCAAGGTGCCACTGGAGCTGGTCTTGCTGCCAGGGCTAGATGTCCTGACTCTGTCCAGGCCTCTTCCCATGTGACCACTAGACAAAGCCTACTGTGAAGGCCCAGACCACACTGCCTTTTGCCTCCCGGGTCAGGTCCTAGGATTCCCTGACAGTCAGTCCCTGAGGTATTAAGCCTTTGGAGGATCACAAATACATGAAATGAAAGTCACCTCTCTCCTTTGCTTACTGCTCCCATGAGGACAGGCAGAAAGCCACATTTCCTGAGAACTGAGGGTGCAGTCTGGGGAAACCCCTTAGGCCTCCTCTTTGAGACATGGTAGCCAGATTCAGTTTGTGAGGAATGGAGGGTAGGGAAGGAGGCTCTCTCAGACTGGACCTCATTCCACTTCAATTACCTACAGGCAACTACCCGCCCACCTGGACACTCGTGGAGGCCCCAGGTACTGGGCTCGCTGACCCTGGGAGCACAGAGTCAGCAGCACATTTCCTCGAGTGCGAGGGAGATGATTTAATCTCTTCACCCACCTCTTCCCATCTGGGCAGCAGGATTCAATCACTCCTGCCCGGCTAGCTGCAAATCCCAGCCAGAGTGGGAAGTTTCACTTTTTGATCTGGGCGGGGTGGTTCTCATCAGAAGAGTCCTGAATTTGAAAGGTGAGATACAAAAAGATGTCACAGAGATAAGGGAGAGCGAAGGGAGAAGTGAACAAAACAGAGCACTTAGGAGAATCAAGGGAGAATAGAAACAGAGTTCCAAGCTTCCTGACACTGGCACCGAATGGGAAAGCTCCCTGCTGTTCTGCACAGCTGCCTGCAAGCTGCCAAGTGGCAAAGGATGGAGGGAAAGGCACAAGATCGGGAGTGCTACCCA